TGTCTATCACATTTCACCCTTTTGTTAAAGACAAAGTAACTGAATGTCAGCCTTTGGTGGCAATTTGGATCAGTAGAGACAAGGGTAGCACTTTAGGGGTTTGGCTGCAGGATTAACAGGAGCTGAGTGTTGGAGTGTGGGTGTGATATGGTCGTGATGGCGTGATGATCAGTGAGGTTTACAACAACAACAACTTGGATTTATATAGCGTCCTCCACACCAGACAGCGTCTCAGAGCGCTTCACAGTAATGGATCCCGGGGCCGAGCCAGGGGGAGAGGGAGGAAGGTGACCAAAGGCGCGGTCGAAAAGAAAGGTCTTCAGCCGAGACCTGAAAATAGGAAGAGAGGGGACGAGGCGAAGGGAGTGAGGAAGGGAGTTCCAGAGCCTCGGGGCATAGTGGCTGAATGCACGGCCGCCAAGGATGGAGCGGAGGACTCGGGGGACAAGGAGGAGGCCAGACCCGGTGGAACGAAGGCAATGGGCACTGTTTTGAGGAGACAGGAGGTCAGAGAGGTAGGGGGGTGCAGAGGAGTGGAGGGATTTGAAGACAAGGGTGAGGGTCTTGAAGTCGATCCTCTCTGGGACAGGCAGCCAGTGCAGTATGGCAAGGACTGCGGTGATCGGGGAGCGGAGTTTGGTGCGGGTAAGGATGCGGGTAGCAGAGTTTTTATAATCTGGATTTTATGGATGGTAGTGGAGGTCGGCGAGGAGGTTGTTTGAATAGTCCAGCCAAAAGTTGACAAAGGCATGGACCAGGGTTTCAGCGGCTTTTGGAGAGAGATATTGGCGGAGACGGGTGATGCATCGGAGGTGGAAGAAAGTGGTGCTGGTAAGGGTGCTGAAGAGGTTTATTGAGCACTGCAATCATGATCTTACCATTTTCAGTCCCACGGATGGAGTCTTTTCTTGGTTTGTTTATTGAATGGCAAAATGGGGACAGCCTGTGTCTGTGATCTGTATGACACGAGGTCCAGAGAGGGTTGGCAGACAGTGGGATTCATGGGTTGTTAATGGGGAATCCAGCCTGTCTGCCATGGCTGACTCCCAGGATCCGTGGTCTACCAATAATCCGCTCTGTCGCTTGTAATGAATTCTGCTCTCTCTTTTGCCCTCATTGACTATGTCCAAGCTTGAGCCCTCTTTAGTGGGTGTTCCTTATCATCTATTTCTCAGATTGGTTTGTTCTCTCCTGTGCCCTTTCCATTCTCCTTCTCCAACTCAATGCCTTGCCCATTTCAGCTATTATTCCATTACACCCCAACCCGCCACTTCCCCCTCCCACACATTTCCCAAAGTAAAGCATTTCTGTTACCTCCTTTGTACTGAGGGGCAGGAAGGACGAGGGCAACAGTAAAGCTTGGGATAATTTCTATCGTAAAGCCTACATTCACAAGTGAAATCGCGCACACTGGTGCTCAAGACAGCGATGGTTGAGATCCAAAGAAAGATTAAATATGATTGACTGGGCCTCCAGACAGACTAAATACTGTGAGGGGCTCCCAACCTCTGCTATAGCTTTAAGGATCAGCTAAGAAAACACGCAGGTAATCAGAGACTTCATGGTCAGGCCTGTTCTGGTTTGGAAATGAAATTTGCCTGATGTTGCTTCAGGCAACTGTCTCTACATCATCCATATTAAATTGGTCGCCCGCTTCATTTCTGTTTGTGGGACATTGCTGTGTGCAGTGCAGGTTGGCTGCCACATTCACCTACAGAAAACTTTGTGAAGCACTCAGAGACATCTTGACGACGCAATAATGCGCTGGATCAAATTAAAGGATTATTTATTATTAATTTCAGGAGAATGTCTCAAAGCGCTTCACAGGATTTATGGTGAAGTGGCTATTTTTACAGGCATTTAACAGGGTTGTGGAATGCAGGCTGGAACTGGAAGTTTCCTCCCTTTGGTCAGCCGTGATCAAAAAGTTGAAAGCTGCTTTAATAATTTTTTTCCCAGTGAGCTTGCTGGAACAGACGAGGCCTGAAAGAGGAGCTTTTGGAGCTCAGCCTTTCTGTAAACTCCACCAACAGGACAAGACGCCCTGGAGGACAAACCTTAAATAAACCACTTCACAAGATTTCTCTCCTTGTGTTCACCAGCCATGGTCTGTCTGCTATGTCTATTTCTATTCGCTATAAGATAAATATCACAGCTCATTTCATTGTCTGAAGTTGGATCAAGTTATCCAAGACACTCAACACCCACCTTTCACATAGACAGCTCGGGGCTCTGATCTCAGCTTTACTGAAGGAGAAAACAGGGTGTATGCATGTGGCAAAGGGCGGAGAGAAAGAAATCATAATAAATAATAATCCTGCATTTGATAAGGTGCCTTACCTTGTCGTTGACATTGGAAAAGCACTTCACAAGATTTACTGTAAAGTACAGTGACTGTTCCACAAACAGCCTTGAAGTGAATGACCAATAATTAAATGCCGATGAGGTGCGTTTGCAGTAAATCTAGCCAAATATCAACCTAACTCAGATGGAAGTGCTCTTGCCTTTCAGTCAGAAGACTGTGCATTCAAACCCCACAATTTATATCAAGGCTTTGAGTTCACAGTGAAGTAGTGCCCATACTGAAGCACTCCAAAGTAGTGCTTGTGGGGGCACTTCATTGTCAGAGGTGCCATACTTTTGATGGGATGTTAAACCGAGGTCCCTCTACCTGTTCAGGTGGACATTAAGGATCCCATGGCACTACTCGAAAAGAGAAAGGAGTTTCTCCCAGTGTCCTGGCCAACAATTCCCAGATAAAATTGATCACTACCTTCATGACAGTTTGTGGCACATTGCTGTGCGCAAATTGGCTGCCTGTGAACTAGCTGGTCTCTTTAGATATTGAAATGCCATTGACGTGTTACACAACAAAGGATATCATTTTAACCCTATCATGTCTAATAGCATTTGCTTAAAAAGGTGCTGGAAATAATTGGTCAGTTTTTAAATCATTAGTTTCCACCAATAAATAACAGAAATAAGACCTGATTTCTGAGGTTTTCTTATGAAACCCCAATAACCGACAATGATATCTTTTTGCCGTGGATTGAAATCTGATGAAAGCAATTGGATGTTCCCATAGGCAGGAAGGTTACGGTTTTGTGAGGAGGAATTTATCATTTCTTCTGCCTTCTGGAGGGGACTGTGTAAATCCAACAAAAAGCTTGTGAAACCATAATTAATTTAATAAAAAAGCATCCTATTTACCATCCAAAGCAGGAGGGTCTTATCTTGCTAATCGAATAATAATAATATAATAACAACAACAATCAAAGCACTTGGCAGAAAAGTGCTTCAAAGCTGTGGTAGAACAGAGCATTATACAAACCACAGGGTGAGCTAACTGCATTCATGGATATGGATGACATCCCCCAAAGGCAGGATATGCACTCCAGTTTAAGGGACGCTCCAGTTTAAGGGACCCTCTAATTAAAGGACACTTATGTAGCTCTGGCAAAATGTTAACAGGCCCGCACACCATAAAAGCACCTGTCCCAAGCTTAAGTGAAAATCCCCCAGTAAATGTAACTTGAACGCTGGAGCTTTGCAAGGATCAAAGAAAGTACACATTGCGCAGGATAAACTGAACCCTTTTGTGTCCTAGACTGTGCTTGGCTAATCTTTTCTATTTCAATGGGTGACTTTTGAGCTCCAGGCTTTCCTGCGTTTGCTCCAGATGTTACCCTCAGCACGTTGATTTATTCAAATACTTAAGAAAGGTCGCCACTTGATTTCCAGATAAATGGGGTTCCGAATAAGTGCCGTCCTTAATACTCTTAAACCATTCTTATCGTTTGGACCTTGATGGCAAAAGTGCCTGCAGCTCCCATCATTAGTCCAGACAGTTGTCGACAGGGATGCTTAAAAGGAAAGCTGTACTTCAAAAGGCTCTGTCCATTTATCTGTAGACTACAGCGATGCCAAAGCAGGATCCGCATAAATGATTAATGCTCCCAGCCATGCACATTTGCCAGGATAAAGTGTTCAGTTACATTTGGATACATTGCACGCAGAGGTTGGGGAGCATGTGGTGAATGCGGGCTTTCAGAACCACTGAATGAGAAGCCGGGTATCTGACACGTGGAAACCCATCACTGTGCTTAAAAATATCCAAACCAGACTGAGGGTGTGCCATCTACATGTAGAAATGTTCCTGTGTCTGGAATGGAATCTCTCAGGATATACTGCAAAGTGGATTGACTGAATTTTGTGGGTGAAATGCAGTAGCCAGTTTGCGCACAGCAATGTCCCACAAACAGCCATGGAATGAGTTGGCCAGGATACTGGGAGAAAGAAATTCCCTTCCCTTTTTGAATAGTGCCATGGGATCTTTAACGTCCACCTGAACAAGCAGTCGGGACTTTGGTTTAATGTCTCATCCAAAGGACTACACCTCCGACAATGCAGCACACCCCCAGCACTGCACTGGAATGTCAGCTTGTATTGCTTATCAGTGTAATGCTTATTTCATTCCGGAAATATTAATAATAAGTAAATAATCATTGAAGTTGAAACAGCACTTTCACAGCAGGAGACTAGCCCAAAGCGCTTCACAGGCATTTTATTGTGGGGTGGAGTGATTGTGTAGTTTCTAAGTGAATGCGGCAGCCAAATTACGCACAACAATGTCTCACAGACAACCATGAAAAATATGATCAATTTTATCTGGGGGATTGTTGGCCAGTACATTGGGGAAAACTCTCTTCTCTTTTCGAATAGCACCATGGGATCTTTGAAGTCTACCTGAACAGGCAAATGGGGCCTCGGTTTAATGTATCATCCAAAGGACAATGTAATACATCCCCAGCACTGCTTTGGATGTGTGCCTAGATTATGTGCACAATGTGGACTATATTAGGTGTGGGTTGACAGAAAAGTATCATTGGCGGAGGTCTGAAATCAGTGATCATCTCTGCCAGACATAGTACACAGCAAAGAGGCAGTTGTTAAAGAGGAATGGACACCATTGGGGACTGATAAAGACCTGTTCTACTCACCAGTCTTCTTATAGAAGATCACTTCAGTCTTGAACTCCCGTTTTTCGTCCAACGCATTCTGAATCTGTACCTTCATCAATTCATTTGTTTCCTCTCCATAGAGAAACTTACAAGCGCAGCACTTCTGCATAACCTCAGCCCGGGCATAGCCTGTCAGGTCGCAGAACCCATCGGAGCAGTACACGATCGGGAACAGGTTCATTACCTGAGCGTTTCCCAGGACAAAGTTGCTGTCTGTTGAAATGAGGGAGAAAAAATAGAATGATCAATTTGACAGATTTCTATGGAGCTCAAGAATTTTCAAAACATGATGTCCAACAATAAAATCTGCAGCCTGAATAACTCGCTACAGAAATGCATTGATCTTAGACTCTGCAGTTAACCTTGCATAAGTCTGATCTGTGTAAATCATACAATCGCCTAAGTTATACGTCTGCCCAAATCCCATTGCATTTCCTATGATTAATAAGTTTCACATAACTCATACTTTGCATAAGTCATATGAAATGTATGGTCCCAAATGATATGACTTATGTGAGGTTTATTGTGCCACCCTATTCTTTCACCCTACATAACAACCGAGGCATAAATTTACAACAGTGAACAGCTATGCTGCTAAGATTTCAAACCTCTGTTCAGAATTACGAGAGGTCTTAGCAAAGAAAATATGCCAATGTGTTGTATTTAACGCAGATTCTGCTCCCTCATCCAGAGTGATGTTCATTTAACATTTAACAAATGCTGCATTTTCATTTTTTCATGCAACATATTCCAGTATTTTGTTGGAGCAAAAATAGGCTGGTTATAGTAAAGATCAGAACAGGATTTGCATTCTCAGAGGCAATTCACTTGATTTGCAAGGATTAAAGAGTCATCCTAATCCTAACCTTAAAGAGGATCAATGAGTGGCACCCTTGGCTTCTGAGAATTGAGATGCTTGTGGTTCAAGCCCCGAGTCAGGACTTTGAACTGACAGTACAGATTGGCACTTCATAATAATAATCCCTCCAAAACCAAAAACAATAATAAATTGGTCATTTTCAATCCATGACTGTTTGTGGGACATTGCTGTGCGCAATTGGCTGCCGCGTTCGCCCACAAATATACAGTCAATTCACTTTACAGTGTGTTCTGTGAAGCGCTTTGGGACGTCCTCCTGACATGAAAAGCGCTCTATCAAATGCAAGGATTATTATTATTATTATTATTCATTGAGATACTAGGGGAGCAGCACTGCATTGTTGGTCGCTCTGGTCGAGGTGCTCATTCTTTGGAATGAGACACTGAACTGAGGTCCTGTCTGCCTATTCAGATGGATTTTGAAGATCCTTCAACACTATTCAAAAAGAGAAGGGAGTTTCTCCCGGTGTCCTGGCCAACAATTCCTCACATAAATCAATTGCCTACTTCATGGCCGTTGTGGAACATTGCTGTGTGGAAAATAACTATTGTGTTCACTTCACTTTGCAGCAATTATCTATGAAGTGTTTTGAGACATTGTCATTGTAGTTATTGCATCACATACAAAGATTATTATTAAACCAAGTGCATTTTATACACTTCATTAACATGCTGTCCTTAGTTTCTTGCAGTTTTACTCAATCCTTTATAAAGGTAGGGTTGTTTTTCAGTTATTAAAATAGATGTGAAGAAGATTCTCACAAAGTAAAGTAAGAGGGTATTTCAAAGGGAACCTGTGATTGAAATGGAGATGATTTTACAGTGTATTGTGGAAACTAGGCATTCAATTCTGAAAAATAACCTGACGGAACAGACAAAGCAACCCTTGATTGCATGGCATTCAAAGAACAAAGGAAATAAATAAATATCAGATTTGTGGGGAAGAGCGGTTCTCTTGGGATAGATAGAACATGCAATTGGGGATTGTGTGACAGCTCTTTGATGGATTTAGACTCATTGGCTTATTGGAAGCAAAAGCACTGAACACATCTTTCTGCGATAGAGTAAAGTAGAAAATTTACAGTTCTTTAACTTTGGTGCAATGACAGCTTTAGTGAGTCAGCCTGCTCCTTCAGACGCAGTACCATCAGTGAGAACAGACAAAACACACTGTCACACAATCATGCGGCTTTGCTGTTTTTAAAAAAAAAGCTAATGAGGTTAATAGACAGTATTGAGCTTCAAAGATTCACTGAGTAACTAAGAGTTCGGTTAATGCTTCAGTTAGAAAGCTTCCATTTATAGTAATGAGAAGTTTGAGTGCACCACACAAGTGAAGAATTACTGTACTTATTTAACTATACCTGGGGGAATCCATCACTTGGAAACCATTTGGAGTCAGGCTCAATGACAGAGCCTATAAATTATTATTATGCACAAATTGCAGTAAATTTTCACACTGGAGTTCAACAGAACAGGACTGTTTTGAGCTATTGCTGGAGTTTTAGCCCAATTTTGTTGGGGCCAGGGGGGAGGAAGAGAGTGTGAGTGAGTGAGTGAGTGAGTGAGTGAGTGAGTGAGTGAGTGAGTGAGTGAGTGAGTGAGTGAGTGAGTAATCAGGTGAGTGAGTGAGCAATATAACAACAACAACTTGCAGTTATATAGTGCCCTCCACGCAGGGTAGTCTCAGAGCGCTAAGGAAGCTAGTGAGTGAGTGGACAGAGTGGACACATGAGCACAGTATTGCAATTTCTAACCTTATTGGTAGGGATAGAGAAACCGCCGTACCCTTAATGTACCGGACCTGCTGCTTCCCCACCTCCTAAACATGAAGTCGCTGATCTTATCTTAAACACTGTAAACCAGCTGATAATAATTCTTGCATTTGATAGAGCGTGGTTTCACTTTGTCGAGATGTCCCAAAGCGCTTCACAGGATATACTGTAAAGTGGATGGTCTGTGTATTTTGTGAGCGAAACACAGCAGCCAATTTGCGCACAGCAATGTCCCACAAACAGCCTTGGAGTGAGTGACCAATTTTATTTGGGGGATTGTTAACCAAGACACCAGAAGAAACTCCCTTTTCTTTTTGAATATCTTTAACGTCCACCTGAACAGGCCGACAGGATCTCTGTTTAACATCTCATGCGATGGATGGCATCTCCGAGAATGCAACATTCCCCCCAACACTGCAATGGAGTCTCACCTTAGACTTTGTGATTCCAAGTCCTGATGTGGGGCTTGAACCCACAACCTTTTGGCTCAGAGGCGGGAGAGCTACTATTGAGCCAGGCTGACAAGAGTCAAAGCTGAAAGGAGTTCTGTTAATCCACCTACCTTTAACCTACAAGACCGTTTTATCTTTGACCGCCTTGAATTTGAGGAAAACTCACTCTTACTTTGAAAGCCAGTTTTCTGCAATTCTAAAAAAGAAACTGGGTTCCAAATGGATCCTGGATTTAGCAATTTTCCACAATTCTCTGACTAAATGATTTTACAGGACAGGGCTAGGTGTAATTTGGACTTAAGTTGAACGGAAATTGTCCTGCCATAAAGGAGAGTGTAGGCCATCCATCACTCAGAGTTAAGCAGAGTCTCTGTGAACCAATCCCCCTCGTTGAGGGATGGTCCCGAAACTATTGAGCAAATCTCAGTGGCCTCATATTATACATTTACCCTATTGGGCTGAACTGTAATTGAGCAGCACTGTAATTGGGCTGCAATGATAATGAAGTGGGAATCGTGTACTGTAGTAAAGAGCACACTCATAATTGTAACAAGAATAAATTAAATTATAAGCCTCTTTTGTCAATAACATAGCAGAAGGTGAGTATTCGTATGAATGTCACATGTTCAGCAAGAGACAAATCACAGGGCAAACCAGCTGGTAGCACTCTCGCCTCTGACTCAGTCAGAAGGTTGCAGATTCAAGCCCCACATTGTCAAGTTCAAAACAGTTTTGGAGGAGCGCTGCATTGGTGGAGGTGCTGTCCTTTGAATGAAACATTAAACTGAGGTCCTGTTTGCCTATCCAGGTGGACATTAAAGACTTGCATTTATATAGTGCCCTTCATACAGGGCAGCATCTCGGAGCGCTTGTTATCACCAATCGTACAATCTCTGTGTAAGGGAGTTACAGCTCGCTTGCATACATAGTGTACGATTGGTGACAATTTACACTAAATGTTTTGCATTAAAATATGCTAAACTGCTACAAAAGCTAGCTTACATTTATTGTCCCCAATTTAAGGAAAGTTCCTTAGTTTCTAACATAAATAATTTCTAAATACTATGGCAATATTTGGGCAGGATATCAGTATACATACAAAGCAGGGGGCAAAAGGAAGCAACATTGCCTGCTGATCAGTCTAAAACAGTGTAATCTGAGTTATTTTGGCATGTAAACCATTTCATTTTATGAAAGCATAAATAGAAAGGTAGACATGTGTTTGAGGAGGCATAATTGTCAGGATGTGTGCCGACCAAGGAGAACAAGGTGTTGACAGTAAGATATTTCTTTGTTTATTGCCGGGAGGTAACCCGAGAGCTCACTGTAAAGTAGCTTGCCAAATAGTCTGCACATGCATTAGCCTGGAACAACGCATGGGTTGATAATGGAAGATCGAGAATTAATAGTTCACGAGCCCTGCAGTCAGAATGAAAGGCAGCAGCAGGTACAATGGATTTCAAACTCAAAAAGGAAGTGTAAAGCTATTGGAGCCAATTTGTTAGTTCTGCCTTATTGACTAAGAATAACATCCCTGATGGGCTACAGCAACATTGTGCAGGGATCCAAGACAAAACAAAGATAAATCTAGTGTATTAGCAAACAGATTAGATTAAGAGAACCACCCAACTGGATAAAGAGGTTTGGTATGAAGTGACATTTCTGGGATGGCTCAGTGTGTACATTATACATTATATTCCATTGACCAATAGTTATAATTAAGTGCTTGGGTTGTTTACACTAAACTGAGGTCCTAAAGCAACTTGGAGTCCTGTAGCTCAGTGGTTAGAGCACTCGCTTTGCAAGTGAGAGACCTGAGTTTAATTCCAGGCAGGGCGAAACTTTGGGCAAGTTTCCTTACTCCACACACCTAATAATAATCCCTCCATAACAAAACAATAATAAATTGGTTATTTTCAATCTACGACTGTTTGTGGGACATTGCTGTGCGCAATTGGCTGCCGCGTTCGCCCACAAATATACAGTCAATTCACTTTACAGTGTGTTCTGTGAAGCGCTTTGGGATGTCCTCCCGACATGAAAAGCGCTATATCAAATGCAAGGATTATTATTATTATCGACCACTCTATCCTCATACACCGCCTCT